TTTTTTTTTTTTTTTTTTTTTTTTCAATCAAAAATGTGTTTAGAGCCATCCAGTGTCAAGTATAACAGAAACAACTCATATTAACATTGCAGTCCAAAAGCCAATAAAATACCCTCCAGAAAACCTTTAAAAAATTAGTTACATTCTTCAAATAAAATAACAGAAAAATTTCGATTTAATTACAGAATATGTAAAACTTAAGGAATGAGCAACAGACAAGTTTGAAGAGTTATAATATAGACTTTCTCTTAAATCTTTAATATTCTTCGGATGAACAAATAACTTTACAATTAATCTCCTATGCAGACATACACATTCGCTTAATTCTTGTACCAACTACTTGACCGAAAAAGAAAAAACTCAAAACAACTTTCAGAGAACACGTCAGTAATGTATACAGAAGACCTGTGTACTAAAGTCAGTCCTAAAGTATAGTTCAAAAATGACAAGAGTTTATATGTGACCTTACCAAAGTTTTTTCGCTGAAAATTCGTAATTTCTCCACCACATTTAGAAAAAAAATCCAGCTAACCTTCTTTCCTTTAACACTACTAACTTCATAAAAAATTCCTTTATTTTCTCAAAACCCTGCAACATATTACTTACTAATAAACCTTAGAAATTCATTCTAGGAACTACTGAAAAATAAATAAACTCTGATAGCAGACAATGCTTTCTAAATGATATAAAATCTTGAAGCCTAGATAAACTTTTCGAAAATTCTTAATAACACTGAGAATAGGTAGCAAAACAATACTACAGAAACATAACCTCTGCATCAGTAACACTAAAAAAATAAACAAATAAACTACTCAGCTGCAAGCCTCTTCTTTAACCCCTTTGGACAATTCGACTAATTTCTTTATCGCCTCAGGGGGAGCCACCTCGTCGTCTAACCGAGAAGCAGCTATAAGGAGGTCCCAAGTGTATGATGTGCAAGACTGAACTTTCGGAACTGATACACCATAGAAATAATAAACTCCCGAAATCTCTTTCACCTAAAGCAAAAATTAAGCGTATTTGCAAAAATAAATGACGAGAGAAACAGATTTAAAAAATTATACAAAGATAACTTTGCACATACAATATACAATACAATATCGTATGTGTTATAAAAGATAGAACCTTAGTAACAGCAAAACGACCAATATGACCCGTATTAGGAATCAGAGGCCCATCCGTAACGTCCGTGTGGTCTCCTAACTTATAAACTGTTAAACTTTCGGATTCCTCACCTAAGATGATTTCTTTTTTCACCCTGTAATTATATTAAAATAAGCACAAAAACAAGACAACCAGAAAATAATGGTTCAAATCAAGCAACAAAAGTATCAGCCAAAGGAAAGCAAGCCAAAGAAAGAAAATTTAACGACGATCAGATATCAAAACAACACTAACGGATCATCGTTAAACATCTCTGCAGCTACTTCGCGACTGACAGTTAACGGTTGAAACTGTAGTTCACCATCGATAAAATTACCAAAGGCTGTTCTCGTCAAAACGTCAAGATCGGCCTATAGAAGCAGAACATTTACACACAATGCACTCAAGAGACAAAGCGTCACTAATTCACTGAGAATTCCTAACCGTTTCTGGTCCCGTACCTTGTACAAGTAAAAGCCAAGCTCTTTTTGCGGTAAGAATCTGACATTACTTTCAATGCCAAATTTTACTAGTCCTTTAAAAAGCAAAAAATGCCCCAAACATTGTAAATTGCAAATATTGCCGCAAACTGATTTCCACAAGCAACATCATTTTGAAAAATCATTCAGCTGGCATATTTATTCCTCACCACTTCAGTCCCTCTGTTCCTTAAAACAATTTTCTTTTTGCCTCTGTCATAAGGTTCTGCCCAGCCTAACCTTTTAAAAGCAATCTTAAGGTATCTGCCATTCAGAAGAAGCAGTCAGATTCAATGACAAGGCGACACCACCCATCACAAAAACTACTCCAAGAAATCAAGAAACCTTATTTGAAAAAAAAATAAACAAAGTGCCTTTTTAGGACTCCATTCTTTCAAGTTTTCTATCCTTGCTGTATAACCGAAACGACCTTTATCATCTAAAATGAGAGATATATTTTTAGTGGAAATTGGCCCATTGTTAAAAGTGGATAGTGAAGGTCCAATTCAGAAAATGTATAATATTTGCATATTACGTGAACCTACGAGACGGCAATTTTTTTTTTACAGGAAATCAACAAGCGAAAATAAATAAAACATTCATTTAATAATCGAACAGATGACATACTTACAATGGGGAGGAAGAGCAGCATCCAAATGGGTCCTCGATCGAAAAGAAATCTCTATTAATGCACCTAATAAGAAAGCACAAGAGCGCCAGTATGCCTGAAAACACTATGAAAAATAAATAAGGAGAAAGTCAGGAATCAATCTATTACAGAACGATTGGCCTGAAAAACCTTGTACTGACATTCATTTTCATCCATAATTTTCTTCAGCAGTTCTGGTCAGACAATTTAAAAATTAACCTTGTTCACCTCCTCCGCCTCTTTGGGACTAGTAAGACTTAATGGGTAAATTTTGACGCACCCATTAATTGGGGAGTGAACCGAACAGTACTCCATATGTGAATTTGTTTCAACAGCAACTAAAGCTGTCCCTCGAGCTATATGAGTTGAAATATCTAAAGAAAAACATAAAAGTACAATGTAGAAAATGAACCAGCTTTTTTCCAAACAACTACTGCAAATTCAGTTTAGAGGCCCTTTCAACCGTAAATATTCAGATTTAAAAAATTACAATTAGAGTAAATTCGATTTTTCACCATGTTAAACTCACCTCCTTTCAGAAAACAAAATGAAAAAAAACTAATTGTTACTAACGTTTTAAACAGTCATAATAAGTGGACAAACGGTCATTCATAAGCAACTGCGTTTCTTTCCCTGATGCTTCTACTACCGTAACAATTGTCTAAAGTTGACTGTTTTAAAATCATAAAATAGCATGTAAAGTAAACACCAGCAAGGCTACACAAAATGATGTAAAAAACAGCAACTTATGAAAGACGAGTTCATAACAAAGCAGAAGGTTTACTGTACTCAGCAATTCTAAACTTAAACGAGATGGTTATCTAACAAAAAAATTTAGAAATTAATAACCTGGCTTAATATTTCGGAAAAGTCAAATAATTTCGTGCTTGAGCCTATCTGATCAAAAGTAAGCTATCGTGCCACAAAAAGAAAAACAAAGCAAGTTTGCCGCGTTAATGATATACCATGAATATAATGAAAGTTCGCTTGCTTAAGGACCTAGCATTACTTGCGCACAAGTGATACCTCTTCAACTAAGCACATTTACTGACTATGCTAGTCTGCTTTGAAAAAAATAGAAAAGACCTTTTCAATACTAATATTTTTCGTGTCCATTTGCCGCACCCATTCTCTTTTGTATACTGAAAGGCGATTCTTCCGACTGTCAAAACAAAATGCTCTCGCCCCTAAAAAGATTTTGAATGAGTTTTCAAGAAAAGACCTGATGTAGTTCAAGTTCCACTTGCTCCCAGTCATTTTGTTTACGACTTTTGAATCTTGTGTTAGTAAGAAACAAGTAACTAAGGAACTTTGTTAAAGAAGAAGAGACGAAGGCAAAACAAGAGGTTCAAAGAGCTTCAATTAACTTGACCGAACCGTAAAAAACTGAAGAGAAATACGTTGAAGCTTTTCTTTTGTAATCTTAAAATTATAATTTCTGAACTTTTAGCAAGGATTATTCAGCGTCAAAATGTTTCTTGAGAATAACTTACCAAAATACGAAAAACATGAAGGTACTGTCGACGACCAAGAAAGTAGTGTTCGGCGTAACATAGTTCCACAAAAAAAAGCCTCTAGTTAGTTGCCATGTTGAATTTCAAACTGAACCAGTGAAAAATTATCACTTGTAAAAGCTCAAGAACCGTTTTATCAGATCCCTAAACAAACTAATCTGTATAAAATGAAGTTTCCGACAGCCTGAAACTGAAACGCAGTGTGAAGCCTCAAAGGAACAAGTAAATGTCGCCTAATGTACAGTTGATGACAATTTGTCATCAACTCTGCATACACTCAATATAAGGAAATACCAAATATTTGGTGTACAAAAAAGACTTTCAAACTTTCGTTATACTTTCCGTAGTTAACAATGCAACTGATAAGAGGTAGTTTAAAGATGGATCGAGTTGACCACATATTACTTTCGATTTTAGACGTTTAGTTTCTGTAACATTTTTGGCACTCATAGAACAACAACAGTACCTATCACTTGGAACAAAGAAAAAAAAAGGTGCCACTCACAACTTTAATCCATCAATCTTGCCATGGGAATACTGGAGAGATAATACAGATTTCGCAGTAGAAACCTGTATCAGACTTTGTTCGAAAAAAATTTTTGAAAATAATTTATTCTATGGTTGATCCTAAGAAGAAAATCTAAAGTAATTGGCAGGTTGCCGAAATTTTAAAAAAATTGGAATAACCTTTCCAATTGACCGCGGACACTGCACATAAGCTTTTTTATATCCCAAAACCTTAGCCTTCAGCAGGTTTCGCTTCTTGGGTTGACAGTGTGTAACTTTGTTGCAGCTGGATGTTTTTTTTTCCTATAATATGTCTTCCGATGAAGTTTTGGCCTTTTTTTTTTGTGAATAACGCAAACAGCTTCTTCAGTTAGCTACTATTTTGATGGCACTCTTCAGCGGTACTTCAGTTGTTTGCTGTCGCTAATTATTGTTTACGTACATAGTACTAAAGAAAATTAAGTAATTTATTTGTTGTCTGTTTAGACGTGGTCGTTGCAAAATACTCTCCATCATACCTGGTTTATCCAAGGTTTGTATTAAGCTTGAACAGTTTTTTAGAAAACATCTTTTATTCGTGCAGAACAGTGACCAACTGTTTTGATCTTCAAAAAAAGAGGTCTGTTTAATGGTGATCAAGATAAGTTCAATAAAAATAATTTTTTCTGCAATCTTTTTTTTATTGCGCTGTACTACGTTCTTTTCGATTGTTAGGAACGGGTATGATATCATTTTTGCCTTAGTATTTTTATAAATACCTGCATTGTTCATTCGGTTATGCTGTGATTATAAAAAGTGGTTGATGACAAATGCTAATTGAGCGTATAATTTTTCTAGTTTCTTTCTTTGTTCCTTATTTAGTTTTATTTCTCCATTCCGTTTCCTTACTTTTGTTTAATTTTTAAATGTCCAAATTAAGGAAAAAAATAATGTAAAGCAAACGAGATGATTTTTATAAAACTTATCTTTTTAACGTTTTTCAACTCTCTGTTTTTCCACGTTCTTTTTTTCTTTTAATTTTTTGAGACTTGCCGTTTTAAATGTTAAGACTTATTAGGTTACTTCCGATATGGACAGAGTCCTGTACAATTTTTGAGTTTTCTAATCTGTTTTAATTGCTTGTTGCAGTGTTTAACTTCTTACAAGAAGAAATGGCATTGGAAGATTTGAATGCGGACATTTCGAAAGCTTTTGAGGACCTTCGCAATATTGAAGATTCTATAACTGCTTTGGGAAGGAACGAAAGGTTAGTGTCAGAAAAATCGTGCTTGTTTTTTTGTTGAACTTTCGAAAATAATCATTTTTTGCCTTTACGGATAAATTTCATTCCGTTCTGGTTGTTTATTAATTGATTTTAAAGGTTACTTAGTTTCTTCTAGTTGTTATTCTTAATTTAGATTTGGGATTGTTCGGAGGCGTTTCTCAGATGGACCACATGATTCTTACGCAACGGATAGGTAAAGCTTTTTAGTTAGCTACTACAATATAAGAGGGGCATAGATTGAGTAGATAGACAGTACTAAGGGTGAGCATTTTCGGATGTATAACAAACTAAAGAAACTTCATTTATATGTTATGCTGTCACACGATCATAAATTCAGTTGGAAAATTTGTAGTGTTTTTTTCCAAATTTTGATGAAGGCTTTAGAATTAAAACCTTACAATTATTCAGAAGAATTATGAACTAATAATTTTAATAGCTGTGACGGCACACATTATTTTGGAAGTTACTTTTGATGATGGCAGCACAAAAGGGAGGGTAAAGTGATTTCTCTGTTCTTTTAGGAGCATTAGGTGGATGTAATTTTTTCTTTTGGAAGTTGCCTTAATTTTCTTGGAGTATATGAACTTGAGTACAGTTTCTGCTGATTTCTCTGTAAAAAAAAATATTGTTGTCATCGGAACCAGTCATCAATTTTTAAATCTTCCAGTAGGCCTCTTTTTAATGTTATGTAAAGCTTACTTATTAAATACTGCGGAAGTATCCGGCAGTTTACATTAATCTGTATGAGAGATCTAATACTTGCGGAGAGATTAAATAATTTAGTCCATACTTTAGGTATGACACGCGTACAGTAAATTATGGCGGAGTGGGAGTGGCTAATAAAAGACGTTTAGTCATATCCGCAGACAATGAGTAAGTTTGCAAATATTAATGAGTTATTTCCCCACTTTAGTCGACCAGTAAAATCAGTATTGTTTTTTTTTTTAAATATTGGGTATTGAGGCTTTCCCTAGTATTAGTGTTCGACCGACTTGACTGTCACTTTTTAATCAGTTTGCTTTTCACAGAGACGTTCTATTCATGAGGTTTCTTCAAATTGCTGTTTTTAATGTGTTGGCTTTTTTTCACAAACTGTTTTATTTATTAGAGGAGTTAAGGTATGATTCTGTTAAGGTTCCATTGCTAACGAGGAACTATCAGTCATCTACTCATATTTTTGCATGAACGGAAGGCTTTTCACTGTGTATAGAAGGACCTTCATTATATAGTTTTTGATGTTATTTAGACCTGATTTTAGCTTGTATGATGGCCCCGGTGCAGGAAAAAGAGCTCGCGATGATACTGTGGAGGAAGAAACCAGACGCACTGTCCAGTCTTCAGTAGTTATGCCGACTATAGAAACTAAATCTCGAGAGGCAGCCATAAATGAGTTAAAGGGGCAAGAAAAAAGAGAAGTGAGCGTAAGGTAACATCTCGGCTTTGTTGTTTACGGTGGCGCTCACTTGTTGTGGGTCTTAACTATCGTTCTCAGTTTATTTGTGCGTTTATTCGTTTATTCATTTTTGAGTAATTTTTGCTTCTTTTGTAGAAACCGGCGTATGTTTTCCAATTTACTGCTTGGCACTCTACAACGATTCCAAAAGGAAGAAAAGAAAATTTCTTCAACCGAAAAAGTTCAGGTATGAAGATTAGTTCAAAAATTTGGTGTTCTTGTTAATACAGAAAAAGCGTTTAAGGCGGAAAAGCAGGAGGAGGTAGAAAGGCGTTTACGCGAAACAGAAATGGAAGAAAAGGAAAGGATTGCGAAAGAGCGCATGGAACTGCTTGAGAAAAGGCGTGAAAAAGAGCGTCAAATAAAGGCCTTGCAAAGGAAGAAAGCAATTATACAATATGTGGGTGTCCTTTGTTATGCGTTCCAATCCGTAAAAACAATTTTTTTAATTGGAAAAGTAACATTTTGAGATTTCGGTGTTTCAGGCAGAGCAAAAGTTGGAGCATCTTCGCAAATTAAAGAATTTTATCCAAACCCAAGCCAAGCCTTCTATCTTTTATATGCCGTCGAAACACACATTAAGAACGCTGGAGTTGTTGAAGAATACTAGTAAATTAATGGATGGTCAGTACTCATATCCATTAAAACTCAACATTTTAAAGGGTTTAAAGCAGCTTTGACTAGATCCTGTAGCGCATGACGGTTGATTTCCTTCCTGTTTCATTTTGTTAAAATTGCCTTTCGCTTCCTTGTGCAATCTGTTTTTTATACTAGTTAATTTCTTTTACCACATTCTTTTTTTTAGATCGTATTGAGCATCGCCGACGTCAGATGGAGGAAGAGCTGAAAACTCCTGAGGAAAGGGAGAAAAAAGCTGACGTCAAAGGGGACGAAGATGAGAATAATGGTGTTAGCAGTGTGGGTGTACAGTCTGATGCTCGAAGCACTGAGGAGAGTAAAACTGAGAACGCCTCCGAAAACGAGAAAAAGGCGGAAGACCCTTATGAAGAAGAAAAAATGAATGGTTCCGTTAGACAAGACAAAAGTGAGGATGAGGAGGAACAAACGGCAGATTCAGACGATGCAAAGGGCGATCAGGATTCAAAGAGAAGAGAATCAGGTAAGGTATCAGAGGAGGTAAGAAAGTCGAGTGAGGAGAGAAGTGAGCACTCAAGCAGATCCAGTGACGAAGATTAAGCGTCAATACAGGTGAAACTTTGAGTGGTGTAAGGGTATAAAAAACTAATTTTAGATATAGTGTCTTGAGACCGTTCATCATTCCTGTCAAAGATCCAGTTTTTTGGATTTTCCACAGTTAAATTTGGCTTTTAAGAAAGCTTTTTTTTATTTTGGGTCGAATCCTTGTTTAGTGAAGATAAGTTTTGATTTTAAATTTGGTTTCAAGTTAGATGTATTGGAAAATTATTGAGCTTATATTTTTAAATTTTGTTTTTTATCTCGTTGTTTGTTGACCGTAAGTGACATTACTTAATCATCTGTTTGTGATTTTAAATCGTAATCTGCAGTTTGCGAAGAGAAGGCACACTGATTCCATGTGCTTCGTGATGTTTTCATAGCAGGATTTTTCCAGGATCAGCAGATCGCAATGCTCTGTATTACTGATTCAGTTTTTATTTGCTTTTGATTTAATTGTTTAGGTGAATTTATTTTGAGCACTAAAAATTAGTTTTTTTTATAAGGAAGAGCATTTTTATCTTTATTAGTTTCAGAAAATTTCTAACATTTTCTGTTGAGCTGTTCTCTACGTTGAAGTGTTACGAGTTTGAATTCCTTATTTTTGTTTTTGTTATTTTTTTTCCAAATTTTGGCGCTTTTTAATTCGGATTATTTTTAGTTGTTCTTTCAGTTTTTCGCTTTTGACGAATGTCAGTTGTCGGAATACATGAGTTTTTGCTTTTGTTATTTCGTACATGTAGTGTACAAAGAAAATAACGACTAGTTTTACAGAAATTGTAAGGGAACAATTTGAATTGTTTTGTTTTTTGTTTTTTGGAAAATTGGTGAAACATTCGATTGGAAGCTTGGTCACTCACATCACTTTTTTCTATAGAGGTAAACTATAGTTATTTATGTGGTTCCAAGGTTTTACATGATTGTCTCACAATTGTTCTTTTTTTTTCGTTTATTTTTTGATTCTTACAAATAAATGTGACATATTGTTTGATTTTTTCATATTTTAGCAGAATAAATGTTGAACTTGTATTCTCGCTATATCTGACTTGTGCATTTTTCAGCTGAAGCGGCGCTTAACTCTACAGCTAATTTTAGCATTGAATATTACGCCCCAATTCATAATTAGAAATGTTTTTAATAAATTAGTTCTAATTTACAAGTTTGACTGAAATGTATGATTTTCATTTGTCTGAGGCTGGTTTGAAAGTTCATAAGTTCTGAGAGGACGTGCGATGTACGCATGTTGCGTTCGTCTCGTCATATTTCCCTGTTGCTGTTCATCACTTGTGTGCAGTTGCTGCCATTTGGCCAGTGACGAATACACGGTACAATTTCAATGGTTTATGTGAAAGTTGGGCCATTGGTGGCACTGCTTAGCAGTGGTTGAGTTTCTTTGCCGGAACTACGTTTCCATCGTTGAACTGCAGGTTGTTGTTTAACCTGCAAACTATATATGTAGAAATGATTGGTAATTTATTTTGTTAGGTCTTCTTTAACAGTCAATTTTTTTTTTTTTTTTTAGTTAAGTTTAATTAGTTCGGTGCAGTTTTCGTGGTTCGGTTTCTAAATCTTGTTTGAGCAGTTTATAGTTTTTTATTGATTGGTAAAAGCAAAATTAGTTTGCCTGATCAATGCTGAGAACGTTTCTGCGTTTTTTGGGCATTTTGGAGCGAGTTTGAGTGTGCGAATAGAACATTGCAAAGTTGCTGACAATAACCTGGAATCGATGTCCATTTAGTTGAAAATTTTCATTGAAAGTCATTTTTTTGTTAGCCTTATTTGTTTTTTTTGTTTTTTCCTTCAACCAGGCAGATGGGAAGAGTACAGTTTTTAAGGAGAAAAAAAATTATACGTTTTTACAGCTATGTCATGGGTTATGTCAGTTTTGTAATTATGAGAGATGACTAGTTAATAATTCAGTAAGCGATTAACATACTGGTACAGGCAACGCTATGGTTAGTACGCCCGCTAAAGCACACACTGAGCCAATAAGTCGTCCAAGATAGGTATGTGGAGTCATATCACCGTACCCAATCGTGGTCATCGTTACGACCTTCAGTTCTAATTGAATTAATGCAAAACCAATTTAACAAATAATTTTTTTTTTTTTTTTTGATTTTTTATTACTTTGATGCGGAAAAAATACTGTGGAATGATAAATTTTATTAAAATACGATTAGCAACTATCAGTGTTGTTTGTTGGTTATTTATATCTATTATAACAGAAAAAAATCATGATATTTTAAAGAGTTGAAGAAAAACAAAGACAAAAAAATGCTCGTATAGTAGAGGGAAAAAAAAAAGCAATAGAAAATGTACTAACCGCCCACCATAATCCAAGAGGAATACTCTGAAATTGATTATCGGGATTTGTTTCTAATCGTTCTGCATAATATACTAGCGAGGCAAAGATTACAATACCAAGCACTAAGAAGAATACCAGTAACATTAGTTCTTTACCACTTGCCCTGCAAATAAATAAATTTCTTATGTTTTTTACTCTTCTTTTTTTGCTTTTTTTATGAACGGAAGGATAGAGATTATTTGAGACTCTATCTTTCCGTCAAATTAGCAAAGTTTAGTTGATAAATGAACACCGGTGAATATGTGAATGGTTGTTAAAGCAACAGTTTATCGGATCAATTTTTGTTTGCTGGTAAGATTTTAGCTATATTTCATGCAAAAGTATTTGTTTATCAAGGAAAAAATTTTTTTAAAACTAAATTTATTTGATCTAAAATTCATTTAATTTATTAAAGATTTTTTGAAGCAATCTCGTATTCCAAGTCCATTTTTTCTTTTTTTCTCTTCCTGTTGTTTCTTTGTTT